ACACAGTGTAGCCCACAGAGGTACGGCTAAAAAGTGACCTCATCCAGGAGATACTGTTGGAACTACTTCAAGAAGACAGAGTAAAGGCTATTTTTGAAAGTATATTTTAACTGGTTACTCAATTAATCAGTGGAAAGATCAATACAGTACTCAATTACTAAAATCACCAGTAGCTGCAGTTCTCTTGTGCTAATCAGGTCACGAGCAGTTGTCCAAGCATTTCACTACATATCGTACTGTGTATGACTGTGTACGTGACAAATAAAAAATTTGAATTTAATCCACCAGAGACTAATGGACAGGAACTGGCTGCAGTATTTTCATCTTTGGTCAGAGAGAAAAAACAAACCAACACTATTTCTGTACCTTTATTGTTCTGGACTGAGATCTCACTGCAGCGGTACACGCACTGAATTGCTTGCAACAGTGGCCCCTCCCTCCCCAGGCCGGGTGCAGGGTGAGCCCCGGTAACCCTCTTTTTTGAAGAAGAAGATTTTGCAACAGCTTGAAGAGAAAAGGGAAAACTTTGCAGCTGTGTGACATGCAGAGTGCCAGCATAAACATGACAGCTGATGCACCATACAGCTAATCAATAACCAAAGCTTTACTTTACTTAGTAATTCACTAATATCCACACGTGCTGTACAATATAACACAGAACTGTCAAAAGCAAACTGTGCGTATTGAAGTTTCAGAAATGTTAGCAAATAAAGGGTCAAAAGCAGAGCTGAAGATCTGCTTATTGGAAAAGTTTATGCATGTTTGTTTATACAAACAAACCATTGCCGTTAAATTTCAAGTATCTCTGACAAACACATGCAGGGCCTGCATTTGTAACGTGCTCTGCTCGCTGTAGCATTCGAAATGTGGCATTAGAAATGTACATGTTCATGTACGCTGAGAATCTGTGAGTCTGAAAGCTTATTGGCATCCACATTGTGTGTGTGTGTGTGTGTGTGTGTGTGTGTGTGTGTGTGTGTGTGTGTGTGTGTGTGTGTGTGCGTGTGTGTGTGTGTGTGTGTGTGTGTGTGTGTGTGTGTGTGTGTGTGTGTGTGTGTGTGTGTGTTATGATGGTGCACAATCAATACTGTCAGCACTGAGGAAGTGAATAAGGTTCTGCTTTCCCATGACCTTACCTGATTCCAGAGCTCAGGCATCCAGCCAGCTGGTGCAGGTGATGGTGGAGGTTCAGCCCAGTTCCCACTAATTAAGGAGCCAGGTACTGGTAGAGGTGACCTTGTGTTCCTGTTGACTGGATTACATGCAGAGTTCTGGAAGCTGGTTTTCAGCCTTGTCGCACCAGTCCCAGGCCTTCATGCGCTGTGACTAATCCATTACTTCAAGGTAACACACGCAGGAATACTGGCAGACTAAAAAGTTCATTAGTACAGCTGTGCGTGGTGGCTGTGTATGTGATGCCTGGAGGCATCAGAGCAGAGAGATAAGGCCTGTGTGGACAGATTTAATATAACTTGTACATTTTGGTTTGTGTGTCTGTATGTGTGCTTGGGGCAAGTTCTGCACCATGTGAGGGATTTAGAAAGATGAGCTTTTCTCTCACTTCTTTCTCCAGGGTGGTCTCATTTGCACAAACCTACAGAGAAATTCGTTTTACCATAAAAATGGAAACACGTAGGCTGAATATAACAGCTCACTCCAGCTGATGGAAGCAGCTTCTGTATATATGTTCCTTCTTCCTGATGTTGCTGTCGTGTGGTATCGCCACGTCTATCGCTACGGCCATCTTCTTCTGTTTGTCTACCACCACTATGTCCGTCTGTATCTGGAAGTCCCACAGGAACTTAGTTCTCCCATTTTGACCTCGGGACTTCCAGGTTATACTCAGCACAGATGTTCCTGTACACTATGCCGGCCACTTGGTTATGGCGTTCCATGTATGCCTTGCCTGCTAGCATCTTGCACCCTGCTGTTATGTGCTGGATTGTCTCTGGGGCATCTTTACACAGCCTGCACCTGGGGTCTTGGCTGGTGTGATAGACCCCAGCCCCACTGTATATTTTCATCATCCCTGTGGGAAGCTTCTTTGTGGTCACGTTGTATCTATTGACATAACATGATAATGATGTTATATCTTTGTCCATATTAACTAATATCCACGTTGTTAAAAAGTAAAATCATACCTTTCATTGATTCTCTGGTTTGTCTCAGGCTTTTGCGTGTTTTTTCATTGCAGTTGCGTTCCTCTGTGCTCTGTGTGGTTGCTTTCAGCCTCCTCTTTTATTTTATTGCATCCAGTTGTCTAAGAGCATGTGCTAAGATATATAATCATTTTCTCCGAGGTAGTAAATAAGATTTGTTACATGTGTAACAGTGCTCTTATGTGGAGTAACAAGTGAAAGGTCCCCACAATACAACTAGCTCATTTATGTCTATTCAAGCCTCTTCTTCAATTGTAGTGACTGTTACCGATGCCTGATTTATTATGGCCTCCATTCCAGTTAGCCCTGGGTCCACTGGTGCTAGTGAATAAGAATCCCCCCAGCTGTGCAATACCTTGAGACCCACCTCAGGGCTGTATCCACAGCAATCAGCAGTGGCCCACCGTCTGCTGATTCAGCTTGTACTGACTTACTGGTACTGGAGACGTGTGTGTATGTGCTGGGTTTGAGCTGGCCTGTGGAAGCACCTAAAAGGCAAATACTATGCAACTGCGTTACTGTGCTGCGAGCTCTTGTTCTCCAAGCCAGCATTAATTGCCTATTTACAACGTCCACAGCAGGACGGAGTGCTGAACTGCATTATTAAAGACCAGCTTTCACAAAACTATTATCAATCACGCTCTCGTGTGTGTCTGTGCATGGTTAATTGCACATAGCGTGTGTAAAGGCATCCCTCCTTTCTGTCTAGCATTCCCTTTGGTGTTTGAAGGTCATTGCTGTCTGCTGGGGCTCGTTACACTAACAAGCACCGGCTCACTCCCTAGGGCTCTGTCAAAGGATTCGTGTGAACAGAGGATTACACGTCTCTTACAGGGATCCAGGCTGTGCTCAGTTCCAGCCCCATCACACCCCATTCTTCAATTTTTAAGCAGGATTTGAAAAAATCAAGAGTCTCCTTTTCTGTTTTTTGCTTTGATGCTCTTGTGACGCGGAGGACGAGAGAGGCGAGGACACGCCCCTCAATCAGTCCTGACGGAAAGTTCTCCGCAACAGGAAAAATGAATCACTAAATAACATTCATAATAATAATGATGATGACACTGCAACGACATCTTCATCAGATATTGTGTACACAGGCTACATGTTTGCGGTCAACACATTTGTTAGATGCTGCAGATGAGCAAATATCCATTGTGACATTATCAGCTCTGCACAGCAGATTTGCAGCATGTCCAACGAGCACACAGACACACACCCTCATAAAGTGTAGGTCTAACAGGACAACGGTGTTTATCTGGCTTCTGATCCTGAATCATTAACCAATAACTGATCATTAATTAGAAGCCACGCCCTCCATGTCATGCGCAAAACTGACAGCATCACAAAACTGTTCGAAATAGCATCTCTCTGTGGTCCAGTTGCTGCACTTTGTAGCCATTTAGTCTCTTTCTTGCATCTCTTTGTGGCAGAACTTTGTCTGTGGTTGTGTTCATTCATATTTACTTCCACTGCTCGTTGCATCTCTGCTGTTTTGTTCATTATTTCATCATCATTTCATCGTTGCGTTGTCTCTCTTTGTGTGTTTTGCAGCAGATTTTTTGTGACTTTGTCTGCAATCACATTGTGTCTCTCAGTTTTCTTTTGGAGTATTTGATGTCTTTTGTGTCTCTCTGGTAATTTTGTCTTTTTCATCCCTTTGTTCCTCTTTATTGCAGCACCTCTGTCTTTCTGGGACTTCCTCAGCCTCTGAGCCCTGTGGCCTGTGTGCAGAAGGCCTGTGGACCATCCATTTCAAACATACAGCGTATATAAAACTGTGTGTTTGACTGCTTTGTTTTCATATAATTATAATAGTTCTTAACCCATAAGAAGTCTGTGGTGTTTAGAAACAGGTCTGGCTATTATTTTAACCCCTGATCAGTTGAACAGTATCAGTGTGCTTTAAATGTAAACATACTCTGTTGTCCACGTATAATCCTACTTTGTTGCTTTGTGGTTGGCAAACATGCTGTGAAACCTGATTCACAGATGGAAACTCGCCGTAGAAATGAATGTACACCTCTTGTTATTCTCATCGTTAGCTTTCCTGATGGCAAGAACACGCGTTCATCCACGAACACGAGGCAGATGACGTGCAGAACAAAGTGCTATTAAACCCTCGGCTTTCTCGTTAGCGGTTCCTTTCCTTTCCTGTTGATCCTGCGCCGTTCTTGCGCACTTTTCCGTCCAGAGTAATTGGAGAGAGTGTGCTGGCCGAGGCAAAGTGTTGCGCTGGCTGCTCCCACTGAGCCGGTGCCAGCAGCTACTGCTCTGTATCGAGTTGTATAAAGAGCTGAGATCCAGCCAAATAAACACTGAACTGTGGCTTTGCCCTTGGCATATAGTCACTGCTCTCATTATTTATCCCTGTAGCTTTCTGCTTGCCACTTGCAGCAGTTGGTTGTTCAAGGTGATGCTTCCACATGTGGGATATTCAAGGAAGGGAGTAAAAAATAAAGGGAAGCTGGGATTTAATCTTTCATCAGTCAAAGGATAACAGCCCCCTTGGATGTAGACAGACTCGTGTTCAGTGTGAGGAATAAAAGGCGTTACTGTTGTGTAATTACCACATGTGGCCACAGTCACCGCTGCTGAGCAGCTATGAGCTGAGATCACAGACTGTATAGAAAGGATGGATGGACGCTTGGAGCCAGCCTCAAGTGTCGTGGAGGCGTTCTCACACTGATAGCTGCATGAAAAATAATCCAACCCAAACGATATGTTTTTATATAGGATGACGTGTGTTCTGCACTGCATGCTGTCAAAATGATTGCTGTGTCAGAACAGCTGCAGTAAGTCTGAATGTCCTCCGTTCTTACTGGAGCATCATCTGTTTTCCAGTCATGCGGAGGAACCCCTTCATGGTGGAAGGCTGCTGTAGGAAAGGATCCCGCAATGCCCTGCAGGAGCTCTACAACCCCACACAGGTAGGACACTGTCCCACTTCCATAAGCGCCCTTGTCATCTCCTTATCACCACCTGCATCTGTTTTCACATTTGTATTTTACTCCAGGTTTTCGCCTGAAGAAGGCGGTGGAAGAAGGCCTATATTTGTCTTTGCCTGCATGTTTAGAAGGCAGATATTTTCTTTTCTAACTGTTGGTGCCCACAGGACTGATGCTCAGTCTTTACCTGAGGAAACAGCTGACTGTTTGTGAAAGCTCAGCATAATGATTGATTCTCCGTCTCTTGGTCAGGAAATGTTGCCGGCCTCAGGTGATAAGTCATCCCGATTGTATCATAAATGAGAGCAGACAATAAATCACAAGAAAGGACAGAGGTTTTTCTCAGGTCTCACAATTTACCCTTTTCAAGGACAGTGAGGAAATGACAAACTCCTACTAGAAGCTCTTTTCTGCAGCATTTTTTCATATCGCATAAACAGCGAGACTATTACAGTGCTGTCATGTCTGTCCCAGCCAGTGAAACCTTGCTTCATCTCATTTTTCACGATTTAAAACGCTTTACAGGACGACGACCATCTGACCGCACGCTGCCTGCTATAACAGTGTGATTGCCAGCATGAAATTAAAGCGTATAATGTGATGCCATTTTAATGGCTCGAGTTTTACTGGACAGTTTACAGTGAAGAGACTGACGCAGGAAAAATCAGAAGGAGATGCAGACACAGGCCTCAGCCTCGTCGGTTTATGCTTACAATTAAAGAAGCAAAGGACATAAAATAGAGAACACCTACCATGTGAATGACTTTAAGAGCGATGGCTGGGATAAAAGCAAATGAATCAAACCATATCAGTGGTTTTGCACATTACTCCTGAGCATATGCTATGTTTGCTATGATTTCCTATCACCCAGAGAGCTTTTTAATTCAAGGGTAAAAAGAAGCTTTGGCAGCACTTTAAATGTAGCTGCCAACAGTGCTGCGTTCATAAGCTATACTGAACTGAAGGGGGACCAGAGAAAAGCAAATGTTTTAAAAGGATGGCACTAACAAAGTCATTGCTAACTTTAATACCATGTATAGAATATTCTTATAGGTTTATATTTCATGGAAAAATGAGTCTAGTGAAAACTGCAACAATCTGTGCCCAGTCTGTTAATGCTCACAGAAGAAGGATTTGGCAGTGATGGCTATTATTTTGACCTGAAAAGTCTAAAATTGTCCCATAAAGTAGAAAAAATAAATAAAGTTCAGCACTCGGTCTAGTTCAGTTTGTCCCTCTCAGATGAATCTTCACTTGTGTCGGTGTGCTGCTTCAAACACACGGTTACAAAATGCTCCAGTTTGGATAAACATGCATTAAAGCGAATGCAGCATACAGATAAAGTATGACCGAAATAATGGATGCAAGATGAAAGGAAATGCTAACATACAACAATGTGTTTCATTTTAAGCAAACTCATTCAGCCAACCTGATGAGCTGAGGAGGGCTGCTGCAGAGTTCAGGCACTGCGTCCTGAAAGGTGTGGTCACCTCTTAGTTTAAAATAACAGCGTGCTGCAGTCAAAAGGTTACTATCAAATATCAGAGAGACGAGTCGTCAGTTGGTCCAAATTATTAGGTACCACTATAGGATTGGTCTATGCAGTGTTTCAGGTACAGCAGACATCCTTACACAGACGTGCATGTACACAGAACTGAGTGCAGCCAGGTTGGTGCTGGACGTCACACTCTGTCAAGCTGAACCCTGCATGTCCTGCCAGCAAGAGGAACTGACCCTCTTTTGATTGTTCCCTTTGTGTAATACCAGAGCCTCTACAGTGTAGGGCCGAACAAGATGAACAGCTTGTGTGGGGAGGCGCAGGCGCATGTTTGGAGGCGAGGTCCCACGCCTGAAATTCAGATACTTTATCTCCAATTAGAATTCGAGTATTTTACCTTCTTGGAATGTAACTTTTTATCTGGACAGTGTATCATCAATATGTTTAGTTTTCATGAGAAAACTGGAAACTACAGCATGTAAAGCAGGCTGTAGGTGAACCAGCGAGTGTGGCTGCACAGGTATGAGTCTTCTTGACTTCAAACAGCCTGCATCAGAGAGGGGAACGTTCAAAGAAACCCTGCTTGCTGTGATAATGAAACTGTGCCTCGATGTTCACTGTGATGGATTACCAATCTCAAGCAAGTGAGCTGAAACCAATGAGTGCCTCGAAGGTAGAAAATCAATTCAACAACTTAATGTTCAAAAGATGGTTGGAAAGGATGGAAAGTGTACATGTTTTGCAGTATGCAGTATCAACTAAATCAGGCACATTTTGGAGCACTGTGGAGATGCACATTTTGTGCAGCTGTGGCTCTCGGGGCTGAGCGCAACCTGCCAGCAGTGCAGTCACTGAGGAGAGGAGCATGACAGGAGGACACTGCTGGAGGTGATGGTGATAGATTGGATAGTTTCTGCTCCTCTTCTGCTCTCTGATCAATGTCCTACCATCTATCACTTCCTGTCTGCATGCCTCTTTCTTCTGCCGCTAACCCCGACAGTGTCTTACCTCATGCTTCCTGTTGTCCTTTATTCACTGTGTTCTGCTGCGTGCTGTCTCAGGCTGTCCCTCATCCTCTCCCTCTCTCCGTTTCCATTTCACTGTCGGCCATTTATCACCCAGGACCTTTTAAAAGCATACCGTAGGAATTTAAACGGTTTGCTGGACAGCTAAGATTAGACCAGGCGCACATGGGCCTGGCGTTAGTTGATTTTCCCTGGATGATTTTTCCCACTCATGTGAAGCATCATTGATATATTTCTATGTAGAGGAGGCTTCTAGTGCAGCTAGGGTAAATTTTAGCAGGGTGCTTGGGGTCAGTGGTCAAAGAGAGATGTGTGTGTGTGTGTGTGTGTGTGTGTGTGTGTGTGGTGTGTGTGTGTGTGTGTGTGTGTGTGTGTGTGTGTGTGTGTGTGTGTGTGTGGGCATCGAGCGGAAAACAGAATCATAAATAGAAATAAATGTAAGACTCATATAAATATGAAAACCTCACTTTGTGCTTTTAGTGCATCTGTAATCCACTTTTACAAAACATAAACTTTGCAAGCAGCAGCCTACATGGTGGCTACACAGCGACCTCGTGCAGTCATTCACAGTAGCAGGTTTACGCAGACTGTAGGCGTGTTTCCATCCACCTGTTTTTATTTTTAACTGCTGCATGATAGAAATGATTGAAACGAAATGCAGAAAATCTAATGAAACTTCAAAATATTGGAACCAGTTTAAATACAGTGGGGCAAAAAAGTATTTAGTCACCGATTGTGCAAGTTCCCCCACCTAAAATGATGACAGAGGTCAGTAATTTGCACCAGAGGTACACTTCAACTGTGAGAGACAGAGATTTTCCTTGTTTGAGGTGACCAAATACTTATTTTCCACCCTAATTTACGAATAAATTCTTTACAAATCCTACCATGTGGATTCATGGATTTTTTTTCACATTCTGTCTCTCACAGTTGAAGTGTACCTCTGGTGCAAATTACTGACCTCTGTCATCATTTTAAGTGGGGGAACTTGCACAATCGGTGGCTGACTAAATACTTTTTTGCCCCACTGTAGGTGGCATCCTTGCTAGTGAACAACATCATGTCTCTATATACGGTATTAATCATGCATACAGCAACAGGGTCCATGTCCTCAGGCCGTTCTGTCAGCAGGGCCGTGCTGTCTGAGGTATGATTCATGTGACTGGCAAACACAGCCTGCACACACCAGCATCACTGCTGACAGGCCTGCAGCTTTACTGTTATTATTTGCATGTAGAGATTTACTCATATTCATATCTATAATTTCCCAGCGTCACTTTTAATACACAGCTCCAGAGTTTATTAAACAAAAGTAAATGAAAGCTTCCCTTGCAGTATTCTCATTTACCCACTCAGCTCCTCGCAGCCCTTTAATATGCTACTCTGTAATAATCTGCACTCCTCTCTCTCCGTGCCGCTCTCTTCTTTTGGATGTTTTTGCTTTCAGCTAATACATGCTCGCTGGTTTTCTTACAAAAAAGCTCACTTTAAATAAATCTGGAGTCAAGTGTTTAATTCAGGGCTTAACTTCCCTCTTATTGAGCCCTGGAGGCGCAGAAGGCGGGAGCTACAAGGTCTCGCTTAGACTTCCAAAAGCCCAATGACACCCTCGTCTTTGTGACTTGAACCTGTGTGTTTTTAGAATACATTATATTAAAGCTAAGCTCTGACTCCTCAGAGATAGTTTTATTAACCACAATTTAAATCAGATGCTGAATGTAATTAAGTAATTTAACGTGGCCACATGTGGTCAGAGTACATCTAAATACAGTAAAGAAACCTGCTAATGATCCTTCTTCCTTTTTATCCTCCAACCAGCAATGACAGGCTGGCTCACAGAGGCAGTTATAACAGATTATACCAGCTCACTCATTAATGCTGAATCAGAAATCAGACTTGATGCTCAGATCTGTGCCGTAGTAAAAGGAATGACTCAGCTAATGTAGGCTAACATCGTCTATGTGTGTTCATTGTGTTTGTGCTGAGGGATCCAAGGATACACAGATGCTTCAAGTTGTTTTGATGATCCATCTGTTTGGGCTTAAAACAATAGTTTGCCTTAATCATACTGCTGTTGTCTCCTAATCACATCCATATCCACCTTTGACATCATAAAGTCCAGATGCCAGGATTTCTTCTGAAGTGCATTTAATAAAAGTTAGAGAATTATTTTCTTGTTCTTACTACAAACTTTTCTGCTGCCAGAAAACATGCATGAGTTTGTCCAAAAGTAACAGGACAGTCTGATAAGAAAAATACAATCGTTCAGAGTTATGCAGGTTTCTTGGCTTGTTGGTGAATTCTTCTCATCAACGTTAAGTTGAAAGCCAAACAGTTCAGATATGCATGGTTGTAATAATAGTTTTTAAACGGAGTATGAAGGTGGCCACAAGATCAGCGGTTCAATCCCCAGCTCCTCCAGTTTGTATTGTGAGGCATCCTTGGGCAAGTCCTGACCC